ACCAACGGAAGGTAGTATCAACGCAGTCGTGGTCCGATCGCCATGAAAAAGGGCGGTGCTACGCTATATGGAAAGGCAACCAAAGGCCGCTTGAGGCCGCTTGAGGCCGCTTGAGGCCGCTTAAACTGGGCTACCCGCTGCAGTGGAAATGCGCCATAAGTGGCCAGCAGGAGCAAGTAAAGGAGGTTGTGTTTGTTTCTATGTGTAGGCTTATGTGATAAGTACAATATTTTGTATGTAAAGTAGAAGATAATTTAAAAGAGCAAGGAAGTTGTTAAACTGTTTCTTCCTGCAAATACAGACATACCGTTCACATTGTGTACGGGAGCGTTCTCATGCCTGTGTGTTCTGGTTGTTAAACATATAAACAATGTCAACTGTTCGATCCAGCTTTTTCCATTTTCTGTCATTCACCATCTTTTGTTCCCTCCTCTCCCTCTCCTTCTGCTCTCTCTTGCTTCAGGGCCTTGCTAATGTGCTGGAAAACTGAAGGCAAACCCCCTAAAAAGAGAGCCTTTCCTGTGCGTATTGGTCTTGTTGGAAGTGATTAAAAAGGGATTTGTGCTGGGAGGGTTGGGATTGTTATCGCTGCATTTGATTTATCACCCTGAACCTGGGTGGTGGGGGCCCTGTTGCTGCCGTAAGAAAACCACACATTTCCAGGGGCACCCACAGAATCTCTGCCAGCATGAAATAAGGCTCTTGCAGCTTTGGTATTTGACTTACCAAGAGAGACACTCACAAACACACATGTTCACAACCTCTCACCAGTATGTCCGTGTTTTGAAGAAACAGTTGCATGTACAACTTCTGTTGAGATTGAAGCTTCTGTAAGTTACAAGTTTTCATTTGTATAAACATCCACATTGGCTCTCACTATTCAAGATATCAATGTTATTTTTCCTAAATTAAATGACATTGATTTCCTGTAAAAGAACCATTTAATAATAATTTTTATATCAGGATATCACTTTTAAAAATGGGGCGTATTTTCCTTTTTTACTCAAATGTGAATATCTTGTATTGGAGAGAAACCATTACATTTAACCGTCTCTTTTTTTATATCACACACACACACACACACACACACACACACACACACACACACACACACACACACACACACACACACACACACACACACTTCAAATACATCTGAGTTTAATGCTTGCTCTCAGGGTGTTCAACTTAAAAAGGCTGATAATGCAGATTATCCATTTCCAGATTCCTTCACTGTGTTCTCGTACATTTCTTACAGCTGTATTGTTCTAAATCCAAAATCTCTGAATCAGTATCACGGTAATGGCTTTTTACTTCACCTGAAGCAGATGCACAGCAATGTTAGTGAGCCATCACTTGTAAATCCGCTTAGACAGTGGAAGAAAAATATTCACCTTTGTTAATTATTTCTTATCTTTAATTAGGACAGAACACATTACACGAAAAATGGGGGAATCTGTGCCACATTTGTTGCAATCAGAGGCTTTTCACATCAGTATAAAAATATCTTCCTTGAGAATCCTTTTCTTGTTCATTCATCTGTAGCTAATGGCTCAAACTAACTTAGGGCCATTTCCTGTCTCTCACTACCGCGGCTGTGAGGAGAAATAATGAGCGTTCAATTTTTGTCAGGAATTTATTTTCATTTTTTATCCTGGGAGGAGGTGAAGTTATGCAGAGAGAGAGAGGTGATATATATTGTTGCCTGCATATATCTCTTTTTATTAAGGTCCAACCATAACACAGCTTTGGGATGACGTTGTCTTTAGGGGCTTGGACTGAATAATGGGTCAATTAATAAATATATGTGTGTCTGGCAGCACTACTAGAACAGTGTGTCTGGGGGCAGGTCTGGGGTCGAGGAGGCAATCAAAGACTAAAGCAAGTACAACTACCTTTTCCCTGTTAAGGCATACCCTTCTAAGAAAACTTTTATTTCTTTATTACAAACAAAATCATGTTTTTACAAGCACCTCTCACTGGAAATCTAATTTTCTTGTATTATTCTTTACCCATGACTGAGAGTTTTGTGAAATCTGCTGAATAAATACAAGTTTGTTTATTCTGCAGAACGTATTCAAATGTTGAATGCACCACATTTTGACACTGTTAAAATCGCTTCACTGCTTCTCAACAGTTTTTCTAATCAGTTTGGATGTAAAGTAGCAGGTTTCTTTCTTACTTCAAGACAGTCACTCTATTTTGTAGGTACGCTTTAAAAGAGGTGGAACTGTGGGAAAGGAGAGCCTTTTAGGCTCCATTAGAAAGAACAGGACCGGCCTTATGGAAGGAGACAGGGTCAACTCGGGGGATTTAGTTACATTAGCAAGGAGCGTGCTCCCTGAGTGGTGCTGGTGTGGGTCAGCCCAGAATATTAACGTACGTTAGTCAGAACAAAGGGCTGTACTAGCGGTGGCAATGAGACGGGGGTGGAGAAGGTCAAATGCTCCTCGGGGCCAGCTGTAAACCATAACAGACGGTATTTTAGATTAAAAGAGGGATGATATCGTGATGCCTTAGATCAGGGAGAGTAAACCAAACAAGGACGGGTGTTTAACGGCGGGATTGTTAGTATTCCTCAGGAAAAAACGTATTATTTTCTTATTGTGTACTCTATCTAACCTTGTATGATTGTAGGTGTGCTCTTGCTCTCTGTTCAGAAATTGAGATTAAGCTAATAACCTTTTAAGCATGACAATTAATATGACAAGAATATACAGTCGGCTTTGCTGGCACAGCTGTTTAATGGGGGTAAACTCAATTATTAAAATTGAATTGACCGTAAATGCAGCAACGGGGAGTTATGTGGTGATAGTGACGTTATTTATTGAGGTGTTTGGGGTCATTTACTGGCGTCTATCTAATATGAAGGAGAAAGACTCTGTCCATATGGTTGTTTAATTCCATGCACGGCCTATTACACATTCAGGAAATTAAAACAAAGCTTGCAGAGCCAAAGGCCGTCAGCTAATTTTTTGCGGAAAACAGCTCATTTTTCATGTCTGCCTCTTTGATGTTGGTTTGGGACTTTCACCGAGTGTAGTGATCTGGAACACTGTGTCTGTACATTTTTCTCTCATACGTATCTGGATTTGAGTGTGAGTGGGTGTGCATGTGTTGAGGGTTTGTAGACAAGCATCTGGGCCAGGCTGTATTCTGTAACCACATGATGACAGCGCCTGATGAAGTCACGGTAAACATCGAGCCAGTCCTCATTATCACTTGTGTGTGCTTTTGGATTTACTTGAGTCAGTTTAAAACCCCCTGCTGTTTTTCAGTCAATATTCTTGTGACATGTCTCAGTATGGATGCAGCCTGACTCGGTGGCCTTAAGTCAAGAGTCTCTGAAAAACAAAGCCGCAGCTTTAAACCTGAATCCAGATCTGCCTGCTAATTGTTGAACAAAAAAAATGTTTTTGAAGCTGCTTATATGATTCTGTTTGAACAGTAGTCCTTAAATGCTTGAATTGGTGCTGTAAAACTTGATGATTGCACAATAGGCTAAGAATAATTACGGCAAATACTTGCACTACTTTTTAAATGTCTGAAATTTAACTCAATAAATTAAGAGACCATATTTTGTTAAACATAAATGAATAACAATCAAAGTATAATTGGGTCTATACAACCTTTTATACTTTAACTCACTAAAATGCAGTTAATCTGCTTCATTAAAGACTGCATGGCTGTGTTTTGATCACATTTGATTTAAAGTGGACCTATCATGCTATATTTGAATAATATAGTGTAGGACCATACCTATATAAGGCATATTTATACTTTTTATTTTTCAAAATACCAAACAGATCATGCATT